AAAAAAAAAAAAAAAGAGATTCGCTTCTGTGAATATTTTTACGTTTTATGGCACGTTTTAAAAAACGTATTAATAAATTGTTACAAAATTACGTTTCACGTTTTACGATCGAAAAAAGATATCGAAGATAATTAAGCGAAGAAACAAGGAATAATAGGCGGTTTTTTTTATCGGCAAGGCAGAGATAATATGATGAGTCTAGCGCTATCCGTGGCGCTAGTGGTGCTTGTCAACCGCAAGCTAATGTGTATGGAGCAATTGGCCCTGATTCGAATTAACAAGCTCAGCATTTTCGTTCCCTTCATTTTCATACGCGTTTCCTTTTCAAAATTCTATTTCCCTATTTTCAAAATTATATTAATAAATCGTTCCACGCCAGTCATTTTCTACGATCGAACGAGCAACGTACGATAATCGTTCGATTGGAAACAATAATATTGAAATGGAAGTCATGGTATTCAGAGCTGGTGATTTTCAATCATTATCAATTCTCGCGTGAATTGTAATCCCGGCCCTGACCGATGATGTTCCTCGATGGTTAATTATCGATTTCGATGGCCTCTTAGTGCGCCTCCACGCCCTCCCCCCTTCCCCCGGTGAACTTCAAATTCTGCCGAATTGTTGCAAATAAACGAAACGAGCGAAATACGAAAGATAAAGGAATGATTGATTCGTTTCATTGCGCGTTTAATCCCACTTTTCGACACGCTATTTGGTATATTATAACCCTTCCATCTATACTTATCGCGTGATCTTTCCCCAGAAATCCATTAGAAACAACTCTAGTGTCCCCTAGAATTTCTCTATTTTTAATACGATAATATTTATTCGTGTAGAAATAATTTAAAATCCCTGATAAATCGTGTAATAATTTTAGAAACTGAAAGAATCATTGAATTCCAAGGAACAAAATTACTCGAAACGGAGAAAATTGTATTCGAAGAAAGAGTATCGGAAAAAAAAAATCAAAAGATCAGAACGCAAAAACACGGAAGAGGAGATCTTTCATCCCTAAAACTAAAATCAAAATACTAAGATCGCTAGGTTTTCCCTTTTAGAACGCGGAATGCCATCCAATCTAAGTCACATTCAGCTTTTTTTTCCACTGGTTTAAAGACACCTTTGCCCGCCACCTCGCCCCTTTCGCCCCACAAAGCCATCGTTTTCAACGAGCGTTAAACACCGAACTCGCTCGATTCTCGTCCCTCGTTTTTTTGAATCGTCGTCGAACGAGCTCGACGGAAATTCTATGGAGGATCTGGTTCGTGTATCTGGTCGATCTCGAGGCAATTATCGAATCAGGAATCGTGTCGTCGAATACGTTTCTTTTCGATTTTCGACAATTACATCGATACGAGATTCATACGAGTTTTATTTTATTTTTTCTTTTTCTTTTCTCTCTCTCTCTCTGGAGAAAAGTTTGAGGAAAGAAACGTGATTTCAACAGGGACAATCGAGAAGAACTAGGCCAAAAGAGGAGGTTGCAAACAGGGTTAGGTGAATCAAATTGAAAGGCAAATTATTTAAATCAGAGAATCGATCTACCAAATCATTGAATCTACTTTGATCGATGAAAATCTAATCTCTAGATCGTCTTGTGGGAATTTTTTTAGGGATAGAAAGGAAAAAAGTTACGATACATTTTATACGTATTTCAAATAATTTGAAATATTTTGTTCTCAACAAAATTGTAATATTTAATATAAATTGTGAATTGTATAAAAATTCAATATCTTCTTAATATAACGGTTTCCTTATCTGATTTGCCTTTCACACAAATAAGATAATTATAAAATGCCGCATCGAAGTGTCAAATTGATCAACTGCTAATTCAATTTACCTTCTATTTTTCCAATATTTATAATACAATCGATATAATAAATTCCCTCTTTCCAAGAATACGCAAGAATACAACAAAAAAATATCGAAAGATCAATTATTATACTAAACTTTTCCTCGAACGTTTTCTTTGATCCAATTTCATCCACCCTGATTTATCGAACTGTATAACTTACAGAGAGAAATTTTACGCACAGAGAAATTTTTTATCCTTACAGCTTCGATTATCGGTTTATTTACAAAAAGAAAAACCTTTTTCTGGAACCACTAATGGAACCAACTTTTTTTCAGATCCGTAATAGGGAGCAATCGGGTAATGGGAGGAGAGGGAGGGGAGGGGAGGGGTAATGGAAAGGAAAA